CTTCCCTTTCCTTCATAGCCACATGCTATACAGATATATGAAAGCGAATAACTACAGAAAGAAAGTGTACTTATCATTAAAACGAAAAAATAAAGCACTTATGAAGTCCAAAATCCACAGCTTCCAACAACGATACAGCCTGATTTCCGTAGCCTGACTACAAAAATTTATCAGATGGCAGATACAAACAAACGCGTGCATCCATTACAAACTACTGCTTCTGGTCATAAGATGGCGTAGTAGTGCATATAGAACAAGTTCTGATATTAGCCAGTAGATGTCAGGTGCCTACAGAAAAAATAACTATGTATCTCTCATTAGGCGGTACCGTAATATTACGAGCCTTTACTCTACTTCATGCGTTTTGTTAAATAAATAAAATTTTCTTTTCACGTTTTTCCAGTTTTATACTGCAAAGATATTGCGAGTGGATTGCTCGTGTTATGACAAAGCTTGAAAGGGTATTCTATCTGAGGAAAGCGGTACCTTCGTGGAGGGCTTTTTAAGAGACATTTCTTTGCCTTTACCTTACACAGGTATAGATAGAAGTGGGCGGAGCACCATAATTTCACCATTGGTAGTTCCACCGCACTACCTGTACAGCATCGCCCCAATTTTGATGTAGAGCACTTCAGGGGACGGATGCGACGGTTTCCCACCCCACATCTTCCCTTCCCCCACCATACCACCCTAGAGGAGATCCGGCTTGCTATTATTTTAAATGCCTACATGCCACACAGACATTAATACACTTACAAAAATACATGCCTTTATCGGTATTCAAACTCGGGAGCAATGATGTTGCAAGCCAGTATCGCTAACTACTATAACGACGAAGGCAGCTGTTCATTTTATACATAGGAAAATATGAAAAGTTAGAATAGCGGATGTGCTTGGAAGAATAATGACTCTATCTAATATAATAATCTCAGAATGCCAAGAAGGCTGGAGAAATACCTTATATACTCCCCCTTTTAAAGGGCGACTGGGGTTTTTAGGGAAACCAATCGCCAAATCCTGGGTGAGGAGAATCATCATCCAACACTCTTTTTAGTTCGGACGCCACTGTACATTTATTTGACATTAGGTATTTTTTGGAAGCAGGCAAAAGGAAAAATTAGCAACGCCTTCGCCGGGAATCGAACCATGGATCTCTGGAATACGCGCCCAGCGTGCAGACCCACCACACCACGAAGGCATGCCAAGAAAGCGAGAGAAATACCTTATACCTTTATCTAAATTGTATACAGTCTGTCCCGTGGCTATAAAGGCACAGCGGGAAAGTCGCTGAACACTGGAAGTTCAGTCCGGGATCCGAATCCCGGTAAACAGGCTGGTTGCATGGACGCTTTCGTGCTTTTCCCCGTATGTAATGTGTATACAAGTTAGTTTCCCTCAGGAATTCCTCCACGAAAATATTTCTTCCCTTAGATAGATAGCCTTTGATTACTTCACCATAATTAAAGAAACCAAACTCTTGGCTATGTACTTATGATTGGGAATTAGAAATTACGTTATAACGCTGTATTTCTGTCCAGCTAATATTGATTATACAGTTTTGTTTATGAGCACTTTTGTACAGTAAAATGTAGCAGTCTGTTAGTCTGATAATGTCCTAGACGTTGCTGTTAATCATTTTTTAGTTTAGCTCCGTTTATTATGGAAGCACCTAACAGGCGGCCACCGTTACCTCCTATGAAGGCACACACAATTTCCAAGCAGAATATAGTGCAGCTTTACTAAGCTAATATTTTAATCATTGTCTTAAACAGCAGTTTGACAGCCTGCTCAATGATAATATTTTTTACAGAACTTCGTGTAATATAATACAAGAGTGTTTTCTCAACAATCACTGGTACTGTACTGCAGTTTAAAAGATTATAGTTTGAATGATCTGGGCTAATTGATTGATTGCTAAATGCTACTTTGGAACTTTTAGGACTTGCAATTTTGCTGATAAAATGTAAATTCCAAGCTATTTCTCAACATTAGTTTTGTATCATTGTAGAAGTACTTCTGCTTTGTTTAACAAGTTAAACTCTCTATGACAAATTTCAGAATTTCATACTCGTATATTGTGTTAATATATAGTCTTATATTTTTATCTTATTTTGTTTTGCAATTCATCTTTTCGTACTCAAACATTAATACAGGCGTTTTGCACAAACACTGTAAAAGCAATACCTTGTACAAAGTGTTTTCCTTTTTAGCTCTGAAAATCAACAACCAATTGTACTAATATTTATTATAATACTGTATCGTTAGGGATTTTCTACATATATATAAATAGTTTAAGGAAATACGTGTGATATTCTAGTATCTTTTGTATAATATAACATAAAATGCTTGAAAATGCGAAGCTCTGCCGGAAAAATTAAGCTACAGGGGTAGGTCTATTTAACATTGAGGTAAATTGGCTATCGCCCTAAATCGGTACGATATCTCCAAGCTAGCGATGGTTTTGATGACTAATTTTTGTCTCCAAATTTGGCGAGAAATCGACAAACTTAGTGACCCTTTGGTTCGCTCCCTGTATAACCGCAACTGCATAACGGCAATTGATAACTATATGTAACTGCAACCGCATCCGTCCCTTAGATATGTGCCTTCCATTAATTTCGAGAAACTGAAAGTACTAGAGATTTCTCTGCGGCCTATATAAGCTCGGAGAGAGCAACAGTTCTCAGTTTTTCGTTCAGAGTTAGATCTCCGTGCGAACTTCGCTCTTTACATGCGTTCTGAGTAATTGAAAGTGGTAACTATCGATTTTGCTCAGTCATACTGAAAAGAGCTATACAAGGACTTTGGTGGAAAGTTCTAGAACTTTAAAATGTTTATTTTGTGAAAATAAATTTTATCAAGCTGTCATCAGTTCTCTGTGCATTCAATCCATTACGAACCCGTAAGCATGCAACAGTGTATTCTCCACAGCATTTTTCTCATTAATTGTATTACCGTCTTTGTAAATACGTTTTTTCTTTTAACAAATGCTGTTTAATCTATTCAACTTGCTGTTAGTAAATCTTCTCCTAGTGGCTATCACATTAGTAAATTATGAGAATAAAATTCCATTATAGGCCTTCCCAAGCAGGAAGAAGACAGCCCTATACCTAAATACATCTGTATAAAGCGTAATAACATGCTCAATGTAGTTAAGCTATAATGTAAGTGCAAAATTTCTTTTTATATGTTAAACTACAGCTGCCATACTTAAAAATATTTTATCTGGTATTGTAGTGAGACAAGACTTTACCTGTATACTTAACAAAGAAGTACCAGTGTCTTGCCCATTTATTTCTGTTTCAACCCCCTTCCCACTGCATCAAAAATTACTGGGGAGGAAACGACCCTCAGTCAATCAGTTCAACTTGATGGTGAGTTAATTGTCCGCCACTTTTTAGTTTTGGCATTACTGTACAAACATTAGTAAATTATGAGAATAAAATTTTAAAACACAATCTGTTCCTTCACTGGAAATTAAACCCGTCTCCTTGGTATGTTGATAATTACTTCATAAACATGATACGAGAAGGATATCTTTAATTTATTGCAATTTATACAAGGATAGTTTAATGGAATGAAAGATGTTGCTTTGCACGCAATTTTGATTTTATCCGAAATGGGTATTCTGCCTTATGAGAAGAAAGTTGCGTAAAATTGCTGAAGTATATATTTCAAAACATTTATATAAAAAATAACAAAATGTTTTGAAATATATCACTATATTATTTATATAGTGATATATTTCAAAACATTTTGTGTTAATTTCTATTAATCTCAAATTTATGAGCTTTCAAAACATGTATTCAATATCTCATTGTACATAAAAAATGACGCCTTAATATCTCCAAGGAATTAATGATGGTGATAATGAAGTGAGTATACAGGCATAAGAAAGATGATGCTTTTGACTTCTAAATGCCATATTCTGTGCAACAATGTTATAGAAAATAGGAATGGTTTAAACTGTGAAAAGTGTTAATGCGAAATTTTAATACCAGCACTGACAGAACCTACTACTCAAATTTTGGTTTCCAAGTTTCATGATAGAGTTATCAGTTCAATAACAGTTTTTTAAGCGTCATTTAAAATCACGAGAATATTTTCTGACATATTTAAAAATTCTATAATGCTTAATTCAAAAAAATTTCAGCTACATTTTATACACCAGAGCATTATTAGTATGTCATAAGAATATCACTAGGATGCCACAAGTAGTACCTTGAAGTGCTCTTTCGAATACTAAGTATGTCTTCATTTGACCATTTGAGGATACCGTGAGGACATCTGAAAATGGGATTTTTCTTGAAATAGTATTCGGAGGATATTGTTGGAACATACAATCATGAATGCATACACTGACATTATATTTCACAATGTTATCAGTACATGCGCTGCTAACTTAAAATTGTACGGAAACCAAAGTCGGGAGACTTATCGCTCCGTTTTAGCGAAACAGCTATGACTCATATGAAGGTTTAAATAAAATCTTTTATTAAAACTTGAATTTCACACATAGCACGTGCTTTATAAATTTATTCAATGTTAGTTAGGTTTAAACTAGCATAAAATGTTAAAGTAAGCAACTCCATAAATTTACAAAGCAACGTCATAAATAAGCTTTCACTCAGGAAAGCGATCAACACGACTAATAACTCAATACACCGCGGGACTAGCAAAAGGCTACATCAAATCCTCCTAAAGTTCCTATCTTTAGAAGGCTTTGGCCAACTACGTGATTCTAAGGGAACTGGGCAAACGACATCTCGAAGGTCACCATCGCTACCAAAAAATCTTCAGTCTTATAGATACGTTAATTCACTTGCTTTCTGGTGGGACAGCACAGTAGAATTGGCAGTACAGATTTAAAAAAAAAAAAAAAAAAAAAAAAAAAAAAAAAAAAGATAATTCACATAAAAGCTTACAAAATAACATGAAGATGTGTACATGTTGTGTGGGTTTTTGCAATACAAATGAAACAACATAAAGCAATGTTCCTATTTTTAATTTTTATTAATATTTACCTTTACATTTATATACTTATATTAACATTTAGCATTAATGAACATAACATGAAGCATTAATTTAATGTTATTAATGATAATCACTAATTATTAATTATTTTCAAATTTAAATCTGTAAAATGTCTATAATGGGATAAAATTCCCCTAAATCCACGAGTATGCTGATGAGTAGACAAAAGTATTTCTAAAACTTGTTGGTTTTAACTGTTTAAAAGTCAAAGTTCATAAAAGCATAAGTCTAAAGTTCATAAAAATATTGTCTAATTTAAATCCGAAAATGTTTGTTCAATAATATTTCATCGCTAGGATGCAATTCATGTATTTAGTCCATATCCATAATTGTCTGATCTAGGTCATCCTCTTTGTTATCATTTGGCTGATCATCATCCTCATCATGTTGATCATCGATGTATATATAAATTTCCTCGTCTTCATCAACATCAACATCAGCAGCAGGTGTGGATTCCATTTCAGCTTCTAGGATATTTTGCAGTTCACAAAAATATGATTGGGGTAGTTCAATGTCTAAAGTTCCCATTGAAAAGTAAGCAGACAAGTATTTTTTGATAGTTTTGATAAAAGTCTTACTGTTTATCAGTGACGTGCGGAATCTCATACCGTGTGAAGAAGCACCTGAAAAAAAGAGAATGAATATATTATACTAATAATATTTATCTTTATGCAAGCAAATGTTTAAAAAGTTCATGCTATGTTACATGAATACTACATACACAGCTGCCCAAAATTAAGATAAAAACACAAATTGCTTAAGATCTAAGAAAATGCTAGGTGAATTTGAATAAAAATTCGCAGATTTTAAACATATGCAGCATATTTATGTAGGTTACTAAATTCTGACTACATTTTAATACAAGAGGTCTCAGTTTAATTAGCCATTCCGTTTCCCTTTCAAGGGATAACTTTCGCTTGCATTGCCTTAGTCAATTATCTTAGTAACCATATACTTTGAAGGACGAATATAAAAATAGTTCTGTTATCAATAACTTAAATAATTATAAAGGTTTTTTGGAAAATAAATATAGTATTAATAGAGTTTAATATTATAATATATATTAACTTATAATTTTATTCAGTTTTAAAAATCTTTCCAATAGGAAAAAATTTAGATAATTAACGTCATCAACAATTAAGAATTAAAACATTTTTTTACGTTACATAGCTTTTAAATTAAAATCGTCAGCTGTTAAATAATGATACGAAAAGACATCAATATGCTACTACTACAGTAAGCAATAAATGTTACAATAAATACAAATTTCTCCCTGAGGTAGGTGAAATAAGCGAAACGATATTGTAATTACATATGCTTGCAATCCGCTGAAATGGTCGAAGCATTGTTACTCTTTCACACACACATAAAAAAAGTTGTTGATGCATATTTACTTCTTAAATAATTAGAATTTTATACCTTAAATTAATATTAATCCTATTTTACCGTCAGGGAATATCGGCTGTATCACATTCGCCAACCTTTTGCGCAGCACAAAGTTAGCAGCTACAACATTTCTCTGGTCTAATTCTTAGATTAATTGGAACTAAACTTTTAGATTGAAAGCGTTGTTTCTAGTCTTGACTTCAGAGTATTTCCATTTATAAAAATCGTACAGAAGTAGAAAAATCATTAAAGCGTGTCAGTACACCCATTACCCTTTACTGTTTTCATGTCATGAAGATGAATGCGTGTCAATTGGAAGAATACCAGTTAGACCATCATACCGTATGAAACATTTTGAATTTGTAAAGTGGAAGATTAATTCCTGAAAAAAACATCGTACGTCTTTAGAAGTGAAGCATGCAAATTATGCGATGAAACCATTGCAATGGAATCGCATAATGAAGTAACTGTGAACATACAATATTTGACCACCTGATATCCATTATTCAGTAAAAAATCCTGAAGGTTCATTTTATTTTATGTAGCATACAGATAGTACTGATAATCAATATATATACATATTCACACGGAACTAATGTATATATTCCATTTCGTCAGATACCAAGGTGATCGCCATATTCGAAAAAAGACATGCAGGCACAAATTTATTAAATTTAATATTCGAATTAATAACTTATTTACCGTTTGACATGATGTTAGCTGCTAATGCGTTGGTGGCGTATTTATAGTACACTTTCAATGTGGATTCTTCTCGTATGATTTCATGTATCTGCCCAAATGCACGGAGTTTTCCAACAATTTCTGCTAAGGCGTTCACCTTCAACTGTGGAGTGGCTTTAATTTCCAGATAAATTGCCGAGCTCGATAAGACCAGTTCAGCAAGGGCAGCCAAATACAGCACGTTCATCAACGAGAGGGCATGAACATTGGGCAGATTATCTTCCATTTCCATCTCAGCCTTCTTAACAGAGTCTTTTGATTTATACGTAACCACTTGAAATGCAGTTATCCACTCCTCGCCTAGACAACGCCACCTACAAAGAGTTCCCACATTATAATCACTAAATATTATCAACGTATTAATGTTTTTGCATAAATGTTAGGAAAAGTATTTATTTCCGTTTGAAGTGTTTAAGAAAGTATAATTTAAGAAAATAATGTGAAGAAAGAAATAAAAATATTAAGCATACACTGACAGTAACAAAAAATCTGACACTAGTCACGGTCAGAAACGCTCAAATTTTACAGCATGTCAGGCTGGCTTTGCTCAAAAATAAAGAAACATTACTGCACCACAGACAATTCATAAATGCCTGAAAACATTTGTTTATACGTAGGTGTGCAATTGTTGCGTCGTCTCGCAGTGTAGAAAGTATTATACGTACTATCACTTTTTCCTTGCATAAATAAACACTAAACTGCTTGTATGCGTTTTCTACCAATTTTTATAAGGCATCATCAAGTTGTCTTCTTTCACTGTCATCTGATATAAGCAATTGTAGCACGAATAAATTAGTTTAGTAAGTTCAACGAGTCTCAATGCGCTATCTTCATGATAATTGTTTTGAACCCGCGTTGTATTTTTAAACTAAATATTGTTACGAATTTTGTAGATATGTTGATAATTGTACTACAATTATGCGTAAAACTAGTATCTTTTGTATAATGTAGCATGAAAAGTCTGAAAAGATAAACTACTGCCAGAAAAATAAGCTTATAGGGCCAAGTGCATTTAGCATTGAGTTAAATGGCTCTCTCGCTAAACTGGCGAGGTATCGCCAAGCTAGCGATGGTTTTGGTGATTAATTTTTGCCTCCAAATTTGATAAGATATTGCGAATAGTCGCTAAATTTGGCAACTATAACCCCGGCAAGAGCATCACTTCTCAATTTTTGTTCAAAATTAACTTTGGAGTATTGAGAACACTGCGAGCTTTGCCTTTTTAGATGCGCTTTGCATTACGCTGTGTCAAGGCCAACTTATACAACTGAGTTTAAGTTGGCTTTGGCTGCGTTTGACATTCTTAGTAGTCTGAGGTGTAACCAGAGCTTAATTTCTAAAATTAGAAGACTGTCAGCAAAGAGGAGCAAAAGTAAATAATTAAATAAAAAGACTATTAAAATCATAATTAATTAAAAAATTAAATAGTTAATTATTACGAAATTAATTATTATTTTTCAATTATTATTTATTAACCATTGTTATTTAATTAAATAATGTTAATTAATTATTATTATTAAAATAGTTAAATAATTAAAGTTTAAAATTATAAGGTATTTCTACCGCCTTCTTGGCGTGCCTTCATGGTGTAGTGGCCTGCACGCTGGGCGCATATTCCAAAAGGTCCGTGTTTCGATTCCAGGCGAGGGCATTGCTCATTTTTCATCTTTCCTGCTTTAAAAAAAACACCTAATGTCTCTACAGTGGCGCCCGAACTAAAAGGGTTGTGGATGATGATTCTCCATTCCCAGGATTTGGCGATTGGGTGCCCTAAAGAACTACAGCCGTCCTTTAAAAGAGTGAGTATATAAAGTATTTCTCCCGCCTTCTTCTTATGCCTTCGTGGTGTGGTGGTCTGCAAGCTGGGCATGTATTTCAGAGGTCCGTGGTTCGATTTTTCATCTCTCCTGCTTTAAAAAATCTGATGTGTACACCACATGACTTCCTTGTACGGAATATTAAATTATACGCTTTTTCTTGCATTTATTTAAACTATTAGATTGATTTAAACCTACTTCGCCGACAGCGCATAAACACAATAGATAAATGCATTCTTTAAAAACCACTTGTTTACCATAGCGACATTCTGGCGCTAGGTTTCTTAACAGTATTATATTTCATTCATATTATAACTCAGACTGCACAAATGTTATCATTTAAAATTTTCTACTCGTTGCCACATGTTCTATTCAAATACTGTAATAAAGCTAGAACTATGTATAAAAGAAATAAGCAAACAAAACAACAGAAACAGTTTTCAAGAGATGAGTATTATTTAATAATTCAGTTCTCACTTAGCGAAAGGCAAAATAAAAAACTCAAAGATCCTATAAAATACGAAGAAATCCAACCTTATTTCTAGAAAAATTCAAGATAAGCATGTTTAATGGCAAATAATAATGGTTGGAGGTTGGTTGGTAACGGAGGACGGGGACGCCTGATGTCTAACAGAGGTAAACAGGCATGTGTCCCGCGCCCTCCACTAACCAGGAACAACTCCCTGGGGCCTCAAGAGGCCGCCTCGGGAGCTTTTTAGGATGTTAACAAGATCATTTACATGGCCATACAAGGGCAGATTGCATTCGTTTTACCGTTTTGACATTTGTTGTTGCAATTTGCTATGGTAATTTTGCACATTCACAATAAAATTCTAATAAAAATACAAATTAAATATACAGATACAAAAATACAGTTACAAAATAATAGGATCAAAATACAGGCTCATAGGGAGAAAAAAAAAAAAATAAATAAATAAATAAATAAAAATAAAATTAAATAAAATAAAATAAATAAAATAAAAAAAAATTAAGTATTATGCATATACAGAAGAGGAAATGTTAAATACATTTGATTGTACATTATTTGAAAGGTGTCTGTAATAGGGACTTATGTAAATTTTAGGAGTAGACTTATGTGTCTGAGAATGTGGAACTGCATGCTGACTTAGTTAGTGTATCATGTCTTGAGAGTTTTGGTTAATGAGGAGAGCACAAATCTTGGCCCATTCTCTTGAGCTTGTTAACAACTTTGCAAATTGTATTTACTGCCGGTTTGTGCTTTATAAGGAAGCGGTGATAAGCTTCACTATTGTTGATAGGAAGAGGGAGGTGATTTCCTGCTGTCAGATGGCATTCAAAAACATAGTGGTCTGGGGAGCCTTCCGCTCCGCAGGCGCATATGTCCGTGGTTGTTATGCCATGTCTATTGAAGTAGGTCGGGAATGGGCCGTGTCCCGTAATATAAGCCGTAAGAGGAGCTATTGCAATGTTGCGTTCAGTGCTGACTTTCGGGAGGTAGCTGTATGTACGTCTTCCAGTTGTGCAGTGCGTCCAGTCTTCCTGCCAAAGATTTAGGCCTTGACCCCGTAATAGCCCTTTGAGGTAGGAAGGAGGGGCTGGGATTGTGATTTTTTCAGCTTCTGGATCAGTGGCTGCTTGCTTGGCCAGGCTATCAGCTGCTTCATTCCCCTCATTTTCTGCATGTGCCTTGATCCATGTTAAGGAGAGATGTTTCTGCGGGTTGCGCTGTAAAAGTTGTTGTAATTTGATGATCAAGGGCGAGGTGTGGTTGTGATTATCTAGTGCTAGAAGCGTTGACATACTGTCAGTGAAAATTTTCGCCCGTTCTATATTATTATTGAAAATGTAATCTACCGCGGTTATAATTGCTTGCACCTCCGCCTGGAACACACTGTTGTTTAAGTCAAGGCGTCCTTTCCATACATGGATGATTCTTCCTTTGTCATAGTGTGCAAAGGCGCTGCCTACTCCATCTTCCTGCTTAGAGCCGTCGGTGTATATTTGCGTATCCCTTGAAACTCGCGTCATTGACAGTGGCTGTATCCGTGAGATGTTAATTCTTATTCCTGTGCCTTTACGTGCAGGATGAGTGTGAAGAGTGTTACCTGGGCTTTGAAATTGCAGAGGGCTGTATGTTATGTTGCCAAATGTTGCATCTTTGCGGAGGTATATGAGGGTGGTGTACACTGCCTCTTGTTCTGCCCGTATGTGGAGTGGAATGAGCCCTGCAAGGACTGTCGCTGAGCTGGTGGCTGTGGTGCGGTACGCTTTACAGAGATTCAGGGCGAATGGTCGTTGAAGAGATGTAAGATGTTTGATCTTTCGTCCTCCCATCGGTTGGGCCCATACGGCAGCAGCATACAAGACTATTTTTTCAGCTACCACATGGTAGAGGATCTTCTGAATATGATGATTCTGACCCCAGTTTTTTACCTTGGAAGGCGCGGGCCTTTCTGGCTATAGCTGATGTTTTGTTTTTTAGTTCTTGGATGTGAGGGATCCAGGTTAGTTTTTTATCCCAGATTACACCTAGGTATTTTAGCGTTTGGACAATCTTTATGTTGGCTCCTTGTAGTTTGATGCAGGGGCGGCGCGTTGGATTCGTGCCTGCTTTGGGTATTATTATTGCTGATGACTTTGCGGTAGAGATTGTAAGCTTTAAGTTGCTGCAGATATTGGCGAGGAGGGAGCAGACTTCGGTGCCGTTTTTCTCGAGCTCCGCACGAGTGCGACCTTTGACAAGAAGAGCTGCGTCGTCTGCGTAGGCGATGACACTTGTATGTCGTGGCCAGTTTGCATCCAGTACAGAGTTGAATGTTAAATTCCAGAGAATCGGTCCAGCACAAGAGCCTTGGGGACATCCTCTTTCTTGCACTTTGAAGGTAGTGTCGTTGTTGATGGCTATGAGAAGACTACGATTCTCTAGATAACTACTAAAAACGCTGAAGAGGTTGGATGGACACTGTGCGTCTCGGAGGGCCTGTCTTATCGCTGGCCACCAGAGTGTGTCAAACGCACTCTGGAGGTCAATGGATATGAAAGCTGTATGGAAACCTGTGGTGCTATTGCGTTGAATTGTTTCACGAATTTTGCAGAGGGCATGCGTAGTGGACAGACCAGTGCGAAAGCCATACTGCCTGGGGCTGAGATGATTGTTGCTATGGAGATGATATTTAGTCTGTTAACAATTAATTTCTCGTAAATTTTGCCCAGGGTTGGCAAAAGGCATATCGGGCGAAAAGAGCGCGGATCTTGCGGGCTTTTGTTCTTTTTGAGGAATAGGACAACTTGTCCTTTCTTGAATGCCTGCGGGAATATTTGGTTGTCAAACAGTTGGTTAAAGAATTTGTGGAAGAAGGAGGGGCGTGCTTTGTAGGCAACTTTGATGATGCTATAGTCCAGGCCGTCCGGACCGGGGGCCTTTTTCAGGGGTAGGTGTCGGAAAATTTGCTTGACTTCCTTGTCACTAAATGGTATATCATGTGGAGTCGGTGGGATGGTGGTGGTATTCATGC